TTGCCAAATCCAAGAACACTCCAATACATTTAAATTTACTATCTATTTGACTAACTACAAATTCAGTTGGATCAGAAACTGCATCAGCTGTTGATCTAGCAGCTCTAAAACCATATTGATTGTTGGATAAGATATTATTTTTCTCTAAATACAATATTAGTCTTTTTTTTTTTCAAAATTTTTTCAAAGATTTTGGATAAGGAAGGTAGTACAGAAATCGGGCGGTAATTATTAACGCATTTTCTGTTTCCTCCCTTGTAAATAGGATGAATTACTGAAATTTTAAATACGTCCGGAAAAGTACCTGTTTTAATACACAAGTTCAAGATACGTGTTAAAGGTGGAACAATAATGTTTTTGTTATTTTTTAATAATTTTGAGGAAATACCATCCCAACCTATCTGCACTATCTGATCTCAAACTCATTAGTGTAGATTCAACCTCTTGCTCTGTTGTTTCTAACAAAACCATCGAGTTACTAGGTGTGTATACTGGTTTACATTTTGGAATACTTGAGTTGCCTTCAAATGTAATTTTATCAGATAGCTCTTTTGCAACATTAACAAAATAGTTATTAACTTTGTCTAGAGCTGCTTCTGGTGTATTTTCTGTTTTAAGTAGATTAATAGGCTGTACTTTCTGAATATTTCTATTAGTTATTTTATCAATTATTTTCCATTTCATTTTTGGGTCTTTAGCGTATTTATTTAATTCATTTCTTTCGAAGTTTCTTTTTAAGCGTTTTAGTATGTTATTACAATAATTCTTGTACCTTGAGTAAGTAATTTTAAGTATTATGTTATTAGGGTCAGTTTTACATTTAAGATGCATTCGATCTCGATTCCTTATACAACGGATAAGGCCAGGTGTGATCAGTAATTCCTTTATAATTAATTTTATTGTAGGCATTATTCTTTAATACACTAGTTTTGAAATTTAAGCTTAAGCACGTTATGACAGCTGAGTGATCGGTCAAAGGGCTCTCTAAAACGATTGTAATTGATGGTAGTTTAGCTTTAAACATCGCATGATCTATGCAATTATGAGCTCTAGTAGGATAAGTATGACCACTTAAAAGACCGTGAATTGCTAGTAAGTTTAGGTAGTCTGAGGAATTGTGATCTTCATTATTGAGTTTTATATCTACGTTTAGATCACCCATTACAATTATGTTACTAAAATTCGCGTAAGTTGTAAGTAATTTATTTAATGACATTATAAAATTATCGATGTTTTTATTTGATGGAGATCTATAGATGCCTATCACAACCGTGTCCTTGTTAAATTCAATAGCCAAACAGGTGGCATCATTTAAGATTTTTTCTTCAACAGAACAGCAATAACTTTGTTTAGTGTACGCTACAATACCATCATTTTGATTATGGTTATTTTTTGTAAAGTGAGTATTGTAGTTTTTAAGAGACGGAAAATTTCCGCAGTTACTATATATATATATATATATATAGATGCTTCAGATATTTTGCGTTAGTATTTGTAAATTATTATTCATTGCTATCTGAGATTTTAGAAGAGAGTTGAAAGATTCTGTACTACACAAGAAAGACGCACTCGCTCTAATTTGGTCTATGTTTTTCATTAAGTTATTATTGTTTATACGATCGAATGTAATTTAAAAGAACGTGTGACATAATTAATATAATGGTTATGTAGGAAGAAGAGGTAAAATACAATGTCTTATTTTTTGCAAATGTTAAGAACATTGCAGCCGAAGCAAATGTTTTGTGTATTGATTTTAATAGCAATGACAGAATACCTGTATAATATGTGTATAGAGTGAAATATAACGTAAATATAGACAAAAATGAACACATAAGATATTTATATAGTGTAACATGACCGTAAAAAGAATAAAAATTTAGTAAATATGAATAATTTATAGGTTTGCCTAGTCAGTTTTGTTTCTTCAGATCTAGCAGTTGCGTTTCATCCTTGACTTCAATATGAGATGAGTCAGCTGTTTTACGAAGATATATTTTTCCATGGCTAGTCCAACAAAATTTGTAGCCTTCAGTTTTTGCTAGAGAAGAAGCTACTTCTTGCTAAGAAAAATAATCTTTGCCCTTTGTTCGTTAAAGCTTCAGATACATAAATTGGTCTTACTTGTTCTTTGAATCCTATCATAGCACTATTGAGACGCTGATCAGAATGCTGTTTATTGAACGTTTTTTGCTCCCTGGGTGACATTGTTCTTCACTATAACCGATGTGAATTCAGTGACGATTGTGATTTTACCCGTTTTACCATTCGATCGCACAACCACGATAACACATCCTTAATATTAGGTTCCTGAACATTTACATTAAGAACCTTACATATAGACAATAGCACACAAGTCAGCTTTAGTTTCCGAATGTGCAGGTATAGGTACATTTCTTATTTCTATAGTAGATGACTTTGAAGCTCTATGCATAACTTCTATTTGCGCTTCGAGTGAGGCTATCCGAAGTAGGTGTTGCTTTTCTTTATTTTCAAGACAACCAACCGTCTTCTTCATATCTTCATACTGACTGTTAAGGAAATCAAGAGCTTTTTCAATTTCTTCATGCGCTGAATCTGTATGTTTTGCTGTTTTATTTCTGCAATATCTGAGACTAGTTTGTTTATGAGCGAGTTTTGTGTATTTTTCCATTCATCCAACATGTTTCGAATTTCATCTTTAAAGGAAGATAATTGTTCATCGCCTGACTCGCGTTGTCTTTTGTTACGTTTAGTAATGTGAGACGGTGTAGCAGGAGTTGGAACTATATTGGAAACATCAAAATCCGATAATGTATGTTGCATGCTACGGCCAGGGGGTGATCTTATAAGCTTAGACATTTTATATCAAAGTTACTTAAGTTTAAAGTTTGTGTGGTTACAACAGTAAATGAATAGACTATTTACCACTATATCTTGATCCCTCCTCACAAGTAAGCTAGCTTTGTGTATGTATCAACTTATATTGTAATACAAATTGTTTTTGAATATTGAATTGTTCTTGAAATTCATGGTATTCACTGAGATTGCGCTTGGCGAATGGCGATGAAGCAGTCATAGATGAAAGCGGGCTAACATTGCTGTTTTTTTTATTATAAAACCGTATACTTAAATAAAAATAAACACAAATAGGTTTAAAAAAATTATAAACTTCCAAATTGTCGGTGTCAGAAATCGAACCCGGGAGTTCCCGGATTCCACCACAGAGCTTCAATGTGCCAAATCCTTTTCAATTTGACGACAGAATTTAAAAGAACGTTAACCCGTATTTTAGAGACGAAAAAAAAAACATTATATTTTTATATTTTAACAAATTACAAAACAATTGAATAAATTATTAATGTTACACATACTGTATTTTTTATTCCTTCTTGACAGCCCTAAATAACCGCGGAAAAACAGCCGTGATGTAGAAAGAGGAAAAGATGCAAAGTAATACGGACACTCGCGCGCAGCAATAAAGGTTTATTTAGCTTGCGTGCGCAAATTATCTTATTAATAATAATTATGTAGGCTATTACACGTCGGCAAGCAGTCAACATCAAAAGAGTGAAACTTCTATACGTAGTACTATTATTAATTCTGTGCCATAAGTTTGTTGAAGCACATTTAGTTAAAATTGAAAACAGGTAGGTACATAATGATGAACTTTCGAGACAAGTAGTGCATTAGGTACTTAACTACTTTAATTTGGTAACTAACGAGAACATCTCATTGATAAGCACGATTATCGAAAATCTTAAAACTATCTATTAATTTAATTGGAATAGGTAATTTTTAGATTTTCGATAATCGTGCTTACGTATAGGAATCTAATATCCTAATATTTGAGTATATACCTGATATAATCAAAGGTACTAATATACCGAATCCAATTTATGTAAGTAAGTACATAATAATCTAAGAAGGCCAGTCAGTGATAAATAAAATTTGTTTTGTAATTTGTTTTTTAAAAAACACTAACACAACAAAAGCATGAAACTGGGAAGAAGCACCCGACCGCCGACCCGAAGCCTACAAACGTTTTGTATCGGATCTCTTTCTACAATCACGCCTTTACGCGAAAACATGCAAATTGTTGACATTGAATATAGGGAATTAAAATTAGATGTTTCCGTGTCTAATTTATTGTCAACTTCTAGTTCGACGTCTGAAACTTTTATGGTGGATAAATTTTGGAGTGAAGTCAGCCAAATCTGTGATGCGAATAGCAAACCAAAGTATGGCAATTTCTCCCAATTTGTGAAGCAAATGACGATACTACCTTTATCAAACGCCAAAGTAGAAAGAATATTTTCCGATATTAATAGGATTAAAAATCAAGATCGAAATCGATTTAATAATAAGAATGTTGCAGCAATAATGCATGGAAAAGAGAGGCTACGACAGTTGGAAGGAGGATGTAGCAGATTTGATCCTGACAGAAGTATGATCAAGTTAATGGACTCAAAACAGCTTTATGACAATGTTACCCAACATAAAGATGAAGAATCTTAACTTTAAGTTTCATTTTATTCTTTTTTTAAATTATATTTTTATTTAGAATTTAATTTAAAAAACATTAGTTTCTTTAATTAATGGTGGTTTCTTTGTTATTTTATTATTTCATCGTTTAATCAAGAAAACATTCATGTTTTTACGTTGTAACACAACAGCAAAAATAAATAGATATTTAGTATTTTCTCGTTCTCTTTTGGTAGAATTCAGTAGATTTTAACCTCCACAAGCAGTAGATTCGTCAAATGAAGTCTGGTCACGCTGCTCAGAAGGGTTAGAACTCAGTTCCATAAAGCCAGTTAAAAAAAGGACGCGGATGCCAGACCCATAGTGCATCTTTTTAAAACTAAAAGCCAAACCCGACGCTTTGATTTGTGAGAGAGCATTGGACACTGTGGAATTTTTAGTGACGCCATCTTGCCCGCCATTAATTGCATTGTTCGGTTAACATTTTTTTAACTGAATATAGTACATTTAATAATTAAAATCACAGCAAGTTCATCAAAATGAGTTACGGCAGACCTCCGCCACGTATAGATGGCATGGTGTCATTGAAAGTTGATAATTTAACATATCGTACGACTCCGGAAGATCTACGTAGAGTTTTCGAGAGGTGTGGCGACGTTGGTGATATATATATTCCCAGAGATCGTTACACGCGAGAAAGCAGAGGATTTGCCTTCGTGAGGTAAAATAGTTCATATCAAATATTAAATTCGGATTTAGTGTCACATAAATTTCATTTCTAAATTATGGACACATGGTTCTATTCGTGGTTATTTTTAGGTTCTTTGACAGACGAGATGCAGAAGAAGCTCTGGATTCCTTAGACGGACGCATGTTGGATGGCAGGGAACTTCGTGTACAAATGGCGCGATACGGACGCCCGTCTTCTCCATATAGAAGTCGTTACGATCGCAGACGCAGGTAAGATATTTTATTCATTTAGTAGATGACACGATTAAATTAAGTTTATTTACTGAATATTTAATGATATCCAAATGTTTTGAATATTATTAAATATTGGTAAGATATATCATGGTAATTGGATCATCACTACACCTTTAATATTACATTCTGCAGTAATTACTCAACGTTTGTCTCCCGCCTAACTGAAATTTTGTCCATTATCTCGATCTATAGATAATTCAGATAAGAGGAACGCTTAAATATGTGTGTGCTGATATGTATATATATACTTAACGCTTTCCTACCGGACTATAGATTTTTAAAGATTTTTCCAAATTTAACTTTATTATATTATTATAGTAGGTAAAAATAAACCAACAGATTTTTTTTTATTTTTATTATACCTAGAAGTACTATTTCTAAGACCTGGACTAATTTGTACCGTCAGTTACTTTATGTATCACAATTTTAGGAACTTTGATAGAAAAATTATTCAGACACAAAAATACATTACAGTGGGAGGTCGTGCTTTAGTTTGCGGTCGCACGCGGAGGGGGGGAGGTGGTTGGGGGGTGGGGTAGTGGTGAAACCCCCCCCCCAAAGGGGGGGTGCGGAAACGTAGTTTCTAAAATATATTAAAAAATCTATCCTAACCTAAAATAAAATCTGGTATTTTTTTTCATCATTTTTACAATAACTAAATTTTCTCGAAAAATCGTCCCTACTTATTTTTACTCTTATGTTATTTTACATCATATTAGCTTTCTAATGGCAAAAAATGCATGTTTATTACTCAGATAACTTTATTAATTAGCATTTTAAAAAAAGCACATAACTCAGTTAAGCACCATAGCAGGTAAAGAAAACTACATTTTTAGGAATAAAACTAGATTTTATCTACATAAATCATTTATTATTTATTAAAACAATGACTCATCCAAAAAATGTGTCTACCTGCCTGATAAAAAATGGCGGGTGCGTAGCTAAACGATGCGCAAACGCAAGGGCTTTTTCAAACACTCATGGAAATGGTTGCATTTGAGTAATAAACTTGCATTTTTTACCATTAGAAAGCTAGTACGATGTAGAATAACATAAGATTAAAGAAAAGTAGGATTAAGGAGACGATTTTTCTAAAAATTTTAAAATTATTGTAAAAATTAAAAAATAGCAGATTTTCATCAAAGCCTCTTTATTCTAATTTTATGATGTTCATTTTTTGGAAATTTTTACTTTATTGGTACGGCTTATTATTAAAAATCATTTGAAAATTTATTCCATTTTGATAGGACATTCAGTTTAAAAGTTATAACTATTTATTTAAATAGGGTTAGCAGCTGCAATTTCAAATATTAAAATATTCATAAAAAAAAATAATTTTTATATTTTTTTTTTTTATTATTTTTCCTTCGATGAAATTATATGTAGTTTCCCTGGTTTTGATATGTGCACTTTATAAAGACTCACACTGTATATAAGGGCAACGCAACTGCAATTCCTCAAGTTTTGCGGTTGTTCATGGGCAGCAGTAGTTACTTAATATCAGGTGAACCGTATGCTTGTTTGCCCCCTCTTCTATAAAAAAAATATAAATTTGAGAAGCAAAACATCTATTATCTCTATATACACAATTTCACCAAATGGGATTGGAATTCATAGCACTTATAAAATTTAGTGTGAAAAGTTTAAAAAATTTCTTAGTTATATGTTTTTTTTTATTAAACAGGTCTGAAGTGTAAGTATCAGTATCTATAACATTATGAATTATTAAGTTTTGTGTGATGGTATTTCTTTTAGCTTATCGCGTTCTCGGTCTCGTTCACGTCGTCGATCCAGGTCCCGTTCGCGGTCACGGCGCCGCTCATACACACGCAGCCGCTCACGTTCGCGTTCCCGCTCTCGCTCTGACTCGAAAAGCTCGCGCGGACGCTCTCGCAGCCACAGCCGTTCCCGCTCCCGCTCCAGGCACTGAAGTGATCGGTGAGTACTGAACATATCAATCTGATATTGCTTATTTATAATCATGGGCGTTTCTGGGTTTGAAAGCAAACTGATACTTATCCGATTTTAGTAGCATGTAGATGCCAATTAATTCGCGTACTTATACTATTATATATTAACAAGAATATAATTACAAATAATATTACGTGATATGTCATTATATGAACATAAAATTATCAATATACACAAAACAAACAACATTCTAATATTAGAAACCTTAAAAATATATATTGTAATAACTAAAATATATTATTAAAAAGGAGGTCCTTTAGGCAAGTTTCCGAAGATACTGGCAGCGTTTCCCCGTTGAATAGCTAGACTAATTCTTTGTCCGAGGTAACTGCCAGCTCTTCGGTCTCCTGTGACGTCCATTAACCTTTTTGCTATTTCCTTAAAAAGGCTTATAGCGCTAGAACCCCACGGAGCAAGGGTCTCGACACCGAAAGGGACAAAAATATATTCGGCGCCTAGACCCCTGTATTTGCATACTTTAGCTTTTTCAGCCGCTTCACAAGCCACACCAGCTCTGTTGTTGGTTCCATGTAGATGGTAAGGGGCCAACGTGTCAGAACAGGTTGTATCCCATACCAGCACCCGGCCCATCTTCCATAGAATCAAACTAATACTGTCCGGTCTCTTGCCATCGTCTCTTGCAATACCAGACGGCTCAAGTAGACTTGGCACGTTGACGGTGGCAAGAGACCGCCGTATGATATCGTTAAGTGCTGCATGTCTCGAGAACCAACCTGCACTTTTTTGGCATATTTTTGGCATTGGCATGGCCCGTGATGTCCTAGCTTGTCGACGTCACTGCCACACGGACATATTTGCAGTTTATGTCATCCCAACTCCTCTGTGAATTTAGAGGAAATCGAAAATGTTGACCAGGGCATGCAATTAAGAAAGCGTTTCTAGCTTCTTCCAGGCCAGCAATCTCAAAGTTTGAAGGGGATGCCCTTAAAATTTTACTTATGAGATTTCCTGAACTATGGACAGAAAATAGGAAGGCTGGTAAAGAGACACTGGAAATTTTGCAAATCCCTAAACCACCGTAACGGATTGGTAGAGATGCTTGGGTCCAAGAATGCTCGTTCAGGTGTATATTAAGAATCGATTCTAAATTAATTTTGATTAAGTTGTCTACTTGTGTCAAGTGGGTCTGGGTGATTCCAAAAGTAGCAGCAACGGAGCACATATGTAAATTCTGGGACGAAAATACAGAATTTTAAAATGCATAGTGCATAATGTGGACTAATTTCAAGGACGTCAGCTGAATTTTGGAATTTAGCAATTGAATTATTAATATATTCAGACATAGATTCATTAAAAATTGGCGAACCTAAAAGGTAAAGGGAATTACTGTTACTATTTTAATATTTGGTGCCAATATATTAAATTTTTGTTTTATGTCATTTAAATTTAAGTTGCAGTTGTTTATATAAAGTTCGCATTTGCTAAAGTTAAGCTCCAAACCAATGGCTTCAAATTTATTTTTGATTGAAAAAAGGTCAGAAAACACAGTATCCATATCACCTCCTAAGGTTCCGTCATCCAAATACCAAACATTGAATTTCGAATTTAAATGTTTGATTATCGGATTTATAGCCAAACTAAAAATTGCTGGCCCAAGGGGATCACCTTGTTGACAACCTACTTCCGAGGATAAGACCCAAATTTCCTCACAATCTTCTTTTCTTCCTTCCTTTATGGCGGTTACAATGAATTTGCAAATGACATGTTATATGCAAAATAGTTAAACAGAAGTGATTTATTATTCAGGAGATATGTTATCAAAAATGAAAAACATCAAAATTGTTATCATTAACTATCTATGACCTATGCAATGCTTATTATAAAACTGGTGTAGAACAGTCAAAACAATCAGTACATTAATAGCATTAATATGCATTGCTCTTTTTACTGGGAAGTCTAGTGATCCAGGAGCATATTTTTCATGGCCCCATAAAACCTTTGTAAAGGACATAGTAGAGATCTGAGGTTTAGATTGAAGCTGTGCAGAAAGGCATGTTTTGCCTAAGGAAAAACAACGGAAAGAGCAGTTGTTTCTCGGAAAGGGGTGGCACTGGTAAGATTGTAGGCACATGGATATGTGTGTGAAAACTCATCTTTATCCATTTCTTGAAGCTGTCCCTTATCCCTTTTTTGAAGCTAAAATTGTTTAACAGTGTAATTGGTGATATAACGTAGCTTGTGTGTAGGCCACAGACAACTGCAACAAACTACATACAGAAAAGACTAGTTGAATTGATATTTCTGAAAATTAAGGCTGGTGTTTAGAGGCAAGTCACCAATTTATTTTCAAACAACATCAAAATTTGAGTCTAGAATAATAATAAAATGCTACAAAATTAAAATTAGAAGAGATAGCGAAAGTTTTTTGTGCAATTAAAGGATAAAAAAAAAATAATATTAATAAAAGAGGGGGGGGGGGTTTTTCTATGTGTTGTTGTTATAAAAATATGGAGAAATTTTTTTTTTTTTTTTTTTTTTTATTCTTTTTTATTATAATTAATAATTTTTTTTTTTTGGGGGGTATTTTGTTGTGCAATAATATAATGTATGAACTCAAAATGTAGTAGGTTGTTAAAATTACAACATTATCTCTTATTTTAAAAACTGTCCCATTGCTCAACACAACTTTCTTTGAAATCTCAGTAGTAAATGAATACTCAATAAAGCTGACATCACTTCTTTCGAGAACATTTAGGCAAGCAGGATTTATTGTCACAAGTGTCGCCTTAATCTAAAGCGAGTGAGTATCTATTTTTAATATGAAAATGAGAATTCTAGGAATTGAAACTGATATCACTAACTTTGTAAGTGTAATTTTTTAACATGCGCTTAATATATATGTCTCAAATATAAGGATCTACCTAATTTAACTGGATAATATGAAATATTTCAAAGATCCTATAATTAATAAAATTAAATCCCAACCCAAGCATAAAACTGAAAGATTTCATGATACTATAAATTCATACTGAAGAGATCTGAACAAAACATTAATAGTTTAATTAGACTTTTATTCTGCATGACATATGCCTTGTAGGCTGCCATGCGTGTATGATTGTTTAATTGTATTGTTTTATATAAATAACTTGCATACTACTGCATTATTCATCCTACAAGCTAAGATGTGCATGTCAGTGAACATACTATTTGGTCATGAACTTAATATTTGGATTGCTATATCAACACACAATTCATGGACATGAAAAGTAAAATATGAATTGACTGAGACAGACAAGAGAAGTATTTTTGAGACATTTTCTCTGTTATGGAGGCTGTCCTGAAATGCGTGATGAAATGGTTGATAATATATAACATGAAAGTCAGTCAGCATTAATATCTCAACTTGTGCATCTTACCAAAAGAAATGTCAAAAATACTTATATCTCTTTTCAAATTTGTAATAAAAATACATAGCAAAAAAAGGCTTATAATTAGAGATGGGTCGAATATTCTTTTCATATTCGATATTCGGCAGCTTTTAAGTCCAAATAGTATATCTTCAGCTACTAATTTTACACAACGAAATACTTTTTTCTCACAAAAATAGTCAAAATATAAGCCTGTGCTGGCAATTTGCTCAGTATTAGATGGTGCAATAACATGTTAGGTGTGGCGGGGGAGTGGGGGCAGGGTCCGGCGCCAATCCCCCGCGCTTAACCTAACCTAACCGCGCGTAACCTGCCGAATAATGTTCGGCCGAATGTTTAGTTCGGCAAAAGTTTTACCGAACTTTCGGCCGAATATTTTCGTATTCGGTGAAAGCCATATTCGGCCCATCTCTACTTATAACAGTTTCTTTTTCCAAAAAAGTCCCGTAGGGTTTCTTGCTGGTTCTTCTCAGAACAGAGGTTTTTTTTTTCAAACCAGTGGTAAAGTAAAAAATGACTCAATAAGAATTACAACATGTAATCAATATTGAATAGAAAATTGTTCTATTCTATTTCATACCAATAAATCGAAATAATAAACTTATATTTGGATATAATATATCAAAACTCCAGTTTTTGGAATTTTATCGTAACAACCAAATTTTTTGCATCCTGAATAAAAGTGGAGTTTTCCATACCCTTCACATTTGAACATCATTAAATTCACTATTATTGAAAAAAAATTCGGATGTATTGTCTTGTAGAAACCCACAATGTGTTGAAATAGAATTAAAAAAAAAAAACTAATTATAAAGAAATACATTTTTACTATGACTTATAATTAATGATACCAATTCTTTTCCACAGGTTGAATGTATCTGCTGAGAGCTATTGTGCGGTCACATGACTGAAAGCAAGCAGCCTCTGGCAAGGTACTAGAACTCATAATATATGTTAAGCATCATCAGACCTACCTATGATAGACATAGCGGCAAAACTCATTGTAACAATGTCTTGTTTAGTTTTAAGTTTCTACAATTTAGATAAAGTATTGTAATGATTGTATGTAAATTATATTTTGTCTTTTATACATCCTAATGTATGATTGCTGGTTTTTACTATGCTATGCTAATCATATAAAACTTTAATCTAATTTAGTATACCATTCTAGGAATTTGTTTGGTTCATTTCATTTATTTTTAAGTTCATGTAAAAATTTAACACAAATAAATTCCCATGTATTCATGCAATCTAAAAGTAAAATTCAAAAAATATTCTATTATTATTTTAATTAATCAGTACCAAGATGTGGCAGCGGAAGATGCAAAATGTTATTTCAGGTATAAAAAATATCTAAAAATGAGAAGATCATGTCACACCCATGGGATTAGTAGGATAAATTGGGAATAATATGGCACAACTTCAATGTGGTAACTAATTGCATTAAACAAGTCTACACATTTTTTTATTCGTCTAGTTTTAATTGATTTATATTTAATATCCAATAAGTAGCAGGCCTAGATACTATGAACAAATTAATTTAAATGGCATAATATTTTTAATTCGATTTATGGAGAAAATAATTAAGGCCTGCTACTAATACCCTCTGGCATCATTTCACTTTATAAATGTTAATTGTGAATACAGATAGATAATTAACATAATGTTGGTATGCTCAGGGCGTGGAGTTTGCGGGGAGAGCGAGCGGTTTGCGGGAAGGGGGGGTTTTGCTGATTGCTGACAACTGCTGATTTGCCGTTGTTGCAGTTCATAAGTTATGAGTAAACTTTTATACTTATTGACAAACCGAGACACGCATAATGTCGGTACATATCTTGGCTGTCGCTATCTTTTAAACACCACCTGTCAGTTACTACCAAACAACCCATAAGATACTGGTTTGTAGAAAACCTAACATATAAACACTTACAAATATTTGTATTACTGTTTGATTAATTTGCACTAAATTATCTCGGCGCAATTGTAACTTAATTTAGCAATATAACAGATAGTTCAAAATTTAGAAAAAAATGTAGAAACAGGTGGCAGCCAATAGACTATCTCAATGAGAACTAATATAAATGTTTGTTTGGCAGGCCGGTGCTGCTCGCTGGCCTGTTTGCTGTGGCAGTTTCCTGTGCTGATTGCTGTGTTTGCAGATGCGCGCGTCTAGGTTTATCGGTAACAGCAGAAAACGCCCTCCCTGCCCTGTTTTTGACCCTGTATTGACAACCTTTTCAGGATATTATTTTGCCATTTATTTTGAAAACTGCGTTATTTTAGGTGGTATTAAGGATAGAGCGGTATTATATTTAAAAAATGATCAAGAGTGAAGAAACACCGGTTCTTAAGGATAGCCATCGTTAAAAGTTTAGGGGTAATGTCTTAAATAAACTTTAGTAATAATAATAAAATAATGAGTTTTATTTTTATATATCCCCTAAAACTTCAAAACCAATACAGATCATTTCTACATACGCTTATGTAGCTCTTACTTTTTTACATGGTTATCATTTCAATCTCTTAGAACATATGCAAAATTATATTCAGCTACTAGTTGGCCCCCATGCAGACATTGTACTGCCCTTTTGGCGCGATGAATTTATTATTAAATTTAATTAACACTAAATTGATTCATTTGACCACAGCGCCACGTCTAGGGACCAGATTCTAATTTTCTTTTTTAGTCAAAAACTAAATTCATGTAATTTGAAGCATCTGTTCCGGTCGTGTCTGATTGTACTCTAATCGGACCATGAGAGTGAGAGGGCAACAGCATCCTCCCAAACAATTCAAAATAATTAAAAAAACTTCAAATTGCCAACTTGACTGCTAAACATGGCAACTATGTCAAGTCCCCACCCTAATGAGGCAACCTGTGGGAGAGGCCTTTGTTCAACCGTGGACTTACAGGTTGTAATGGATGGATAACATAAAATTCATGGCAACTTTTAAAAAAAAATATTACGAATCTGAATCACGCATGAGGGATTCCGTACCATCGTACAAAATGTAATACTGTGTATATAGAATATAGCAATATAAACTTAGCATTTCCAGTGTACTTGTTGCCTTAAAGATCGAGCAAAAAATTGTAGTAAGGGGTGCCCACTTTAATTTTTATTGTATTATTATTTTAGCGGTAACAGAAATTCACATACTGCGAAAAGGGGGAATGCCCACTCTTCATAGACACTTCGGCCATGAGTGCCCACATATAAAAGCATATAGATATGATAATATGCAATTAAAACAATGGTAAAGGAATTGCTTTAAAAAAATCGGGGTTTTGAAAATATAGAAGTTTTTATTTTTACAAATGCAGTTTTGTTAACAACTATTTTTATCGATTTTATCGCGTTTTATTTCTTTGATTTTTAATTCCAGACGTTTCGGGTGCTTTCCAGCACCCATGGTTACGGCAGACTGAGGTGACTGACATCCCAATGTCAGTGTTAACCCGAAGTACCTTCAAATTTTTTAATTTTTATTTATGGTCCGATCTACAGAATGAACTTACTGTGTCTTGAAGTCTTGCAGTGGTATGCTTGGGTTTAATTTTAATTTCATTAATTACAGGGTCCTAAGCAGGTGGTAGTACCAAGCCTCCTTCTCTATTGAAAAAAGAATTTTTTTATTTCAATAGTCACATGTATTGTCCTTTTAGAGGATTTGTGGTCTATCAAATCTTTTTTTGATGTCTATCTGGTTGGGGCCGTTCAGGATATGATCACAAACTGCAAACTTCCCTGAACTTTGATGCTTCACGTCAGCTCGCTTCAAGATGTAGCCAATCTTGTCTGTGACACCCCTAACAAATGCTAGTACTGCACATGCTTGACTGTGGCCGGCTTCACTCGGTCACTATGACGTAAGCGCGGGCCCGAAGCTTGTTGACGTGCAGAACCTGCTTGACATGCTGAAGCTCGATGGCCAGATGTTTGCTGCCACAGATCCCTTGTGCTCTCTGTAACAAAGATTTGCTCACGATAACTAACTGTGAAGGATGATGGTGAGATTCATTGTTTTCTATACACAGTGTGACCTATGACCTATGAGTATGTTTGTTATCGCAAAATGTAGTTAATCACAAAAGAGACATACTCGCAATGCTGATGGAACTGTTACAACCAGGTAAAAAACATTGTGCTTTTAAATAATTAGTTAGCAAGTACACTGTGTGATGTATGATCTAAGCTTTGTTGTTCTGGGTGCAATACATTACTCACTTCAGATTGCAACGAGGATGGACTATATGATTCAGATGGTTCCCGTTCTGCAGTTGAACGTGATGCTGTTGTATCAGTTCATTGCCAGCAATTATGATATACACGGCATGACAATGGCAACTGAAATAATGTGAAATACAAAAAATGAAGTCAAAGTGAAAAAATAAAATAGATTTATTTCAAACTCAAATACAAATAAAATATCAAGTTAAATGTTACTGCACAAGGACAGATTTAATGCCCTATGTTATTTAATAATTAAGGCCTGACAGACTACCAGCAGTCCAAAAACAATGAAAAATCAACTGTCTCCTTTCTTGGTAGTTGATAAAAATGGTCAATCTCATAAATAAGCTAGTATGTTTGTCAGATATAGCTAGTGCAGATGTGAAAAATTAAAACAAGTTCTTAAGTTGATATACAATCAGTGTAAAAACATGTATATATGTAATCAGATAAGAGGATCACATTTAATAAATTGAAATGTTAGACACTTGCCTCACGTGGAGAATCGAACCCAAACAATGTGTGTGATCTTATTCTCAAGTGCCACAGCCACAGAACACTAATACCCTTAGGCGGGGCCACAGCTGATGTATACATGTTCAAGACGAACTATTTGTGCATTTTGCGAGTGGCACACTACACGTTCACTGTACTCGAAACTTGTACCTAATAAAGAAGCTACAATTATTACATTAATATTATTCAAGTAAACTCAGTTATAAAGCATTTCTTAGAGGAAGACATGCCACATCGTGATATACAAACTATTTACCTGCTGTGTTCGAACCAATTAATGAGAGATCAACAACTGCATTTTCCAACAAAACAATATAACACGCAATTTAATTCTTGTGACATCGGGGGGCCTACCTGTCAGATTCGATGCTGCCACTTAACTGTCATAAAATCTATGAAACGATATCGATTTTTATTCGATTATTATCATAAAAAGTATAATCTTTGACGCGTTTTAAGTTCTGCACGCTTTTTAAAATATAATTTTATTTATTGAAATTCTATTTCAAATGTATTTTTAAGAACACTTAGCTTGTGCTGTATTGTTTTAGAGAATTCGTGGTAAATCAGCTAAAAATTAACTTCTTGAATTATCATAACATGATCCCATTTTAAATGTTATGTTAAGAACAGATAAGAATAACAGTTAACTTGTGCAGTAGCGTTTTGTTATACTCTAAAGAATTTTTGGTAAATCAGCTAGTAATTCGCTTGTTTAATTATCATAACTATAAATATGAAGGTTGTCAATGAATTCAACCGAGCCTATAACAACGGTTGTTTTAGTTTTTAACGGTTGACTACCGCTTTTGATGACTTGAAATGGATAAAAACCCATTTTGTGCAATAAGTTTTTTCTCTTTGGTAATGAATAAACCACAGAAACCCCTATAATGTATAATAGTCCTTTTCTTTTTAGATACAAGTAGCACAATTTAAAGAACCGCAAAAACAACTTTGTTATTTATACAAACACTATGAAAAACAAAATAATTTGTTGCTGGCGATAATGATAGTGGTATTTTGACTCGATTTAAAATATATGCTTGTTACTACAGAACTCTTCATGGGCCTGCGAGTCCGACTCGCAATGAACCACTTTTTTTTCCACTTTTAGTTTTATTTTAATAAATAGTTTTTTCGTTCAAGCGGAGCTCTTTTACTTTAGATTTATTACCTCTTTATAATAATCAACCTGAGTAAGTAAAGTGTGTAAATACGATTCTTAAATTGTAAAAATAATAATTGGATTTGAACATCTTAGGTAGGTATTTAGTTTTATTTATTTAGAAAATATTAATCTCACAATTAATTATTGTAATAATATAAATTTATCACACAGCTAACGCCCTCATTAGCAATGTAATGGTGAAAGAATTTTCAAAATCGGTCTAGTAATTTTTGAGATTAGCCAAAAAACGTATTCATTGAAAGTAGCGCCCTCTATAATAAAATTAACCCTATATTAGATATCTAAAATTATACATAACAATCTAGCGGTGAAAGAATTCTCAAAGTTGGTCAAGTACATTACGAGTTTAGCGAAAAAAGTAGCGCCCTCAATAATAAAATGCATCCTACGTTTTTAAGCACCATAGCAAAAAACGATTCAACATAGCCTAACCCTCAAACACAGTAAAAACATAACCATCCTTTTTCGTCTGTAGTCGGATAAACAACTGGTTAATAACGGTTGCGTATCGGCTGCTCATAACATTGTAGTAATCACAAACTAATAAGAGTACTAACGTACAGACAACAATCTTCCATAGTAAAAAATTGGTCTATAGCAAGCCTCAAAAATTGAAAGTGACATTTAGGTTTTTAAATTTATCTAAGGCAAAGGTATTTATTTGTTTCAGCCTAGTAGCCGGTGGCTGTAAATAATCCTCCCAGAACTTTGAAAATTTATCATTATTGGTTTAAACTTATGTACGTGTTCACAATGTGACCACTTACATAAATTTAAACCATTATTAACGTTTATTTAGATATAAAGAAATAAAATACAGAAATATTTATTAAGTCTTTTATTTTAACATTTCAGTGTAAATTTACAAGTGCAAGCAAATTCTTTCCTTCTAGGTGCAAAACATCAATTTCTTTTAAATATTGCCACAGCCACGGAAACCTCCATAATTACAATATACTTTTTTATCGAAGAAACTGATGGTTCTTTGCACATAGGTCACATATTCACACTTCACTTCAATTGATGTAACAACTTTTCTCAAATTTTTCTCCTTGTAGTATTTATGGTTTGTGCTTGTTGCTCCCCCATTTACCAAATATGCAGCAATATTCAAAGCTATTTAATTGCTGAGTGCTCCTAGGCAGTTTAAAGACCTGCAACAAAAATAAAATTTATTTAAAAAAGTAACATCATGTGAGTATTGCAAAGGTCCTTTTTAGATACAATCCAGTCACTAAGGGTTAATTTTTCAATGGTCACATATAAGTTATTCATAAAATAAAATCCAACATAAAAATGAGAATTACAATTGAATTAATAAAATAGTTCAATTGTTTGAATTCACATCAGCATGTAAACAATTTACTATTGTACTTGGCAGATTAGCATTCACATTCTACTTTTTCGGTCGCCAGTTTAGATATGGCTATATTTTTAGATATTCAATATAGACAATCTGTCGACAATCCGTAAGATTTCCATTAATAAACACAGGATAATATAGATAGGTGTATTTTGATGGCTACTTTAATTTGCTTGTTTGTATAATAAGAAAAAGATGTGACAAAAGTATAAATGAATATTTTCCTATACTGATATTCATTGCGTCAATCCTATAGATTAAACAATAGATTAAATATAAATACTCTTTCCTCAGTTACCATCAGATTTGCATGAATTAGATATGGGGTAATATTCTATTTTGACTAAAAAAAATCTCACTTCTTGTAGGTTCATAATATGCGCCTAAAATGATCATGCATTTGAAAGAGAATTGTCAGTTTAGTCAAGTCAATCACACACCATTTAGTGTCACTGCTACTAGTTATGTTAAGTGCAATAAAACAATTTATTAAAAGTTAAAATGCCATCTTATATCTTTAGATATTGTAAAAATTATAAATTATATATTATTAGATGTGCAGGAAGTCGATGGATGCAGGTGGCTCAGGACTGTGCTTTGTGGCATTACTTGGGGGAGGCCTATGTTCAGCAGTGGACTTGTGAAAGGCTGTAATGATGATGATGATGTAAAAATTATTATGCAAGTGTAAGGTTAAAATGTATCATTTAATATAACTACTTTTACAGATCAATATAGCTCGAAGAACCGACAACCAATGGAGCAAAAAGGTTCTCAAGTGGCAGCCTTGTAAGATATACAGGAAGTCGATAGATGCTGGTGGCTCAGGACTGTGCTTTGTGGTATTCCTTGGGGGTAGCCAATTTTCAGCTATGGACTTATAAATGGCTGTCATGTTGATAAAGTAAGTTTTGTTAACAGTAGAATAAAAGGAAACAAAACCACTAAAAGCAAAACAATTTTTTATAAAACTTATATAGATATTATCCCATTTCTTACTTTTAACTTCTAATATTTTCAGTGCGATGCAGCACCCATAACACCTATGACCATTATAACAGTTTTATTCAACATGTATTTGTATCTAGTTTGTATAAGGTATTTATAGCAAGTATAAGGTATATATGTGAATCTAGTTTGTTTTTAATATATTCAGTGTGTGTTTTCCAATAGATGTGCATGTCTTTAATTATACTAAGTAATTTGAATGTATACACGGTTTCTATTTATATGTTGTAGTATCTTGTGTCAATATTTATGGGGGTGTTTTTGTATGTTCTACATTGGATGGTTTTTGTTTCGTCATAGTTTATTTCTAAGTAATGGTTGTTGAGCCACTGATTTACTGTGTAGTTTCCCGAAGTACTGGTGTTGGGTTTCTGTTTTGTCATAAGTAATCAATATTGATATAAAAAATAAAAATATAAATTTCTTTGCAACTTTCCGCTAAACAAGTTTGTTTTTGTGTGTGTTCTTGTTTAGCGGAAAGTTGCAAAGAAATTTATATTTTTATTTTTTATTATAATGGATTTCCGCAAAGTAACGCCTGATTCTATCAATATTGATATTCATCAGCGAATAAGATTGGCAATGTTTGTTCCCTATTTAGAACTTTTGGCAAGTGGTTGATGTACCACAAATAGCACACAACCCAACACGCTGCCTTGTGGGATTTAACATTTTATGCTCCTTTTTCGGATCGCACTGATTTGAACTATTTGCAATTTATTTTCCCATATGATTTAAACCATGTGTAAGCTGAGCCACAAATAGCAGAACCATGTAGATTATGTAAAATATTACACAGTACTTTTTCATATGCTTTTGTTATGTCAAGTAATACTCTTACTCTCCTAATACTCTCCCTAAGTGGCAATCTATGGGGGATGCCTGCAGTCAGCAACAGGCTTTCATAGGATGGATATTTATAGAAATAATGAATTAAGAAAAAATAAATTTAGAGAAATTACTGACCGGTCATGATCTCAGCTTCTGTAAACAACGTGAGATATGCATCCTGGTAGGGCAGTTACTTTGATCTTAGATCCTGGTGAATAACAAATTTATTCGGGATAACAAATCGTAGCTCAATGTATCGGTAGCACACATCATCATCATCAGCTTGCGGCAGTCCACTGCTGGAAATAGGCCTCTCACAAGGCGCGCCACTTAGCCCGATCTTCGGCCTCACGCATTCAGTTTCTATCAGCCACCATGCGCAGATCGTCGCTCCATCTGGTCAGAGGCGTCCCACACTACGTTTGCCTAGACGCGGTCTCCACTCCATAACACATATATAATAAAAAGTAACACACATGCAACTTATTATTATATAAGATCTTGTACATAACCCTTGAATTTTTTACATATTTAACTTTATGTCGTCGTATAATGGCCGCGGCGCTTGCCGCGTCACGTGGCGGGCTGGCGGGATGTGGACAGAAATCAGGGTTGCCAGATACAATTTTATGGTTTCCCCCAAATTGATTTTTATTTTTCCCCAAAATGATACGTTTGAACCAGAAAACCACCAGTTTTGTTACCAATAGAAAAAATATATAATTAAAACAGACAGCTTTTATTTTATTAGTTAATGAAGGAAGAAAATTTGAATGAAGTACATAGTTATCGATTTTTTTTATTAATCTTCATTAAAAATAGCAAGTACTTGATTAACATTCTCTTCATCTCCTGTTTGAAACACATTTTCAGAGTTAAATAAAGTCAACATTGTAGTGCTTGGCTCAAACTTTGTGCACCCGCCGCGGTCTTGTAAGGCACTTCTCACTCTCATTATATGGTCTGCGGTTTTCGTGAGCATTCTGTTTCGCAATTTATTTTTGACGATGTTCATCATAGAAAACGCCCGTTCTACTTGGCAACTACCGAAAATGGCAAACTTAAAATAGCCGTGGCAAGTTTTGTTAAATTAAAGAAAGCTGCGTCGCCACAAGCATTTTTGTATGACAACACTTCTCCCCAAAACTCGTCAGCTGTTTTGGTTTTTTTCCATTGCTGAAGAGGTAGAATTCTCCACTCTTGCAGCGTCGCATCAACATTTTCCACTCCTCCAAGCACATCCTTGAAACCAACAACTATATCTTCAATATTAGGTCTTACTTGGCTTGTCGCGATTTGGGGCGAGAAAATTGAATTTTTTTCTAATAATTTAATATTGTTTGGTAATCGCATTTGGATTTCTTCACAGAGACGAATAAGACACTGAGTACATCTTTCTTTAATGATGTTTAAATCTTGTATAGGTACATTCGCAGATTCCTCCACAAACAAATATCCCAAGTGAATGCCCCTAGTATTCATAACACAGTCTCTGAAATTGAATGTGGCCAACTCATCTTGTGTAACTCTCTGTAACCGTTCAGGGGGAATCAAAATCGACAAATAATTTAATAGTAATCCAGTCAGTTCTGACAACAATTTCAGAGAATCTACATTGTCTGACTGAAACATTTTGTTCACGTCGGTTATGGCCTTTAACGATTGCTTTAAAAACAATAAATACAGCTTATTTGGCTTTGACGCAAGTATGAGCTGTAATTGGGATGCTGTGTAACACCTCTCTTTCTCTTTTGCTAGCCTGAAGTGAAGTTCTAGCGCATCCCACTGCTCTAGTATTTTTGTGATTGCCTCAATGCGAGATAGCCACCGTGTACCCGACAATTTGTCAATTTTTAGCGGTTTTTTTCCACTCAATATTTCATAGATAAGTCTGTAATCACTTTGTCTTTTTGTAGAATAAGAAAACCAATTGTGACATTCTTTTACTATAAACTCTAAATGTGTTGGAAGCACTTTGCAAGCATTTTCAGCAGCAAGATGCAACGAGTGTGAGACACATTTAACCACAGCCAAATGCGGTACAATTTCTTTCAGTATTGATGAAAATGAATGATGCTCGCCGACCATCACGTTTGCACCATCTATGCCAATGCCGATTAATTTTTTTATATCTAAGCCATCTTGGAAAAGTTGGTCTTTAAAAGCCTTCACTAGTGTGTGTAAAACACCGTTTTAACTTTGAATGTTGTTTTACTAAAGTAACGTATCATAATACACAGGGTCTTTTTCGTGTCAACACATGTGCTCTCATCTATTATTGCGGAAAAATTGCTGTCGCCAATATCTTTTATTAATTCCTCAAGGATGCATGGTGATATTACATTTTTTATTAGACCAGCACACTTAGTACGATGGAGTTTCAAGTCACTTAGTACAGAAGATGATTTGTCCAAAGCAGAAATAAGCACGCCAAGATGATCTGCTGCTAAAATTGAACAATGTTTTGCAATAAAAGCTGCAATTTTGAGTTCCGATACTTTTCTTTCAAAAGTTATGTTTTTATTAAAAAAAGTGTTGATTTTTTTGCTACTGTTTCCAAGCTGAGAAAATTTAAAAGCCTCTTGATGTTTTTTGCAGTTAGCGTGATTTGATAAATCTTTTTTGTGTGCTTGTAATGAACATTTACAAAGCTTACAAAATGCTTTTGATGCTTGTCCCTCCACATTTGTAAGCCAACCTGAAACCAAATTTAGATATTAGAAAAAATATTTTTGATTTAAATATTAGCAGTTAGTTTAGTTAGGTACAGTTACACTAAACCAAACCCACACGCACACGCACCCGTACTCACAATATTACTCTCATTTCCCACCAAAGCTTTTTAAATATAATGGTAACACTAGCACACAATCAAAATACCCGGAGTTTTGGCGGGAACTTGATCGGCGGCGGTATGCTGCTCCTGTATTATAGTTTAAATAATAGTTTGAAGTGGATTTTGATATGTAAAAGTGGTGCGATTTTATGTATTAACTGTCTACGCATGTGAACTATTAGTGGAAACGGTGAAACAAGTGCTCTGATGGTGATGGATTCTCAAGATAAGCTGTTTGTTGCATAGGCGCCTTTAGATACCATCGCCAACTGTCGGCTGCCTGCTGGCTCAAGTTGCCGTCAAAATCTCCCAAGGACTGCACAATGTGACGCATCAACATATTGTGAAGCAGTGAACTATGAAGGATAATTATAAAGTAATGTTTTCGACTGAAGGTCCTCGCAACCATGGTCACGAATAAATTAATAAAAAAAATCAAAATACCCATGCCCGCCCATCATTTCCCGTAAAAAGTGTAGTGTAAAGTGTAGGTAGCTGGTAACATTACCGCCGTTTATGAGACACGAATTTCTAGATACCAGGCCATAAACTCCAAAAAAAAAATGAGACACGAATTTACGCGTTGGAAATTCTAAAAACAAAATTAGTTTGAGTATTCGACTGCTCTAACTTCTGATTAATTAGATATTTATATATCTTCTGTCTATTATATGATCGTTACTCATAATAACAACATGTTCATTCATATTTTTTTTGGTTACATTTACATTTTTAAGTTACAACTATGTACTAGATTTTTTATAATAAAACTCACCTGCAAACTGAGGTTCCGCTTCCCATACTGGTCTATATCGTCGAGCCATTTTTCATATCACTTGATTTAATAAGTATATCAAATATCAATCGACACGACAGAACAATACAACAAGAACACAAACTATATAGAATAAACAAGAAATATGTATTTAGGTACTCAGAGAAAATCTCGTCAACGCTACAACCAACGACATTCAAAATTCAAACATCAAACACTACACCACAGACACAGACATAGACACAGCGTTTTTTTTATATAGCTCTGGAATCTTGCATTTTAGCCATGATATATTAGCTGAACAAAAAGTACGTCCGTTTGCACTTTTTGTCGTTTTAAAAATTCTAGCCACCAAAATTCCCCATTATGTATTTTCCCCCCCAAAGGTTTCCCCAAAGATTCCATTTCCCCAGTTATTCCCCAAGAGTCAATTTATTCCCCAGAATTGCGAAAAAAACCCAATCTGGTAACGGTGACAGAAATGTCAAAACAAACGTCAATCTAAATCCGTAGCTACATATATTGCTATATATTTTGAGGGCCATAGACATAAGGCTAGGAATATTTGTATAGAGATTACCACCCGTGGTAATAATTATCGAAAAATTATATAAGCATTGTAATAGTGACACCATAAGTAATCGATCGAAAAGGGGAATCGATTTTTTTAATGATTTTTGTGATTGGCAACATTTTTTATTTTATTCATAAACTAATGAATTTTATTATATATGTACGTATTTACCTAATTTTATTTTTATCTTTTCGGTACTTTTAATTTGTGCAAAAATATTCCCATTGTTTTAGGATAAATGACCATAAATAAATATACATTTTTTTAACAAATGCACATTGTTGGGCGTTCCATGGCCGAAAATGGGCAATGCCCTTTCAACTGTTTACCTAATTCGGATCATAAAATACAGCCCGCTGACGGACAGCGGAAGCTTAGTAATAGGATCCGGTTGGTTACCCTTGGGGAACGGAACCCCAAACTGCTCTCTTGAAAAATTACGTCTTTATAACATGTTTGTCTTGACCATTAAACCATTAATCAACTAGCTGTTTCGGCACATCTTTTCTGCCCGTCTTATATATATATATATATATATATATATATATTCCGCCCGCCAATAACTTGCGGATTCAACTTTTCCTAGATTAGGAGCGAGAGGGGCAGCCCACTGATCTGCGCAAACAACAAACTTCAAAAATGATGCCAACCACGGAGTACATTCCTACATATTCACAAGGGGTCGCTCGACAACTAATTATGGTGTTGAGCTCATTAAATATATCTTTTTGGATGGGAGAATTCACAGGATGCTTTGGGTATATTCTGTGACCTATCCAAGGCCTTTGATTGTGTTTACCATGAAACATTAATCAAGAAACTTCAACACTACGGTGTAAAAAGTGATGCTCTTAAATAAATTATTTAAGTGACAGAACGCAAAAAGTTGTCATTAATAGTATGAGTGAGTCAGGGTCGATTGTACAAATGGGCGTGCTTCAAGGCTCAATTCTCGGCCCTTTTTTGTTTCTTGTATATATTAATGACTTACTTTACACAGTAGGGGATAACCGTGATATAGTATTATTTGCTGATGAAACTTCATTAATTTTTAAATTAAAACGACAGTTATTAAATTACGACGAAGTAAATAATGCTATAACTAAGTTAGTCAATTGGTTTAATGTTAATAATTTGCATTTAAATGGAACTAAAACTTAATGTATGAAATTCGTAACTCCTAATGTCAAACATGTTAACACTAACTTAATTCTAAATGGGGAAGAACTGAGAGTTGTTGATACCACCATTTTTCTTGGAATCACAGTAGATGCAAAGCTTCAATGACTCCCCCGCATATTAAAACTAGCTAGCAGACTTAGTTCTGCAGCATATGCTGTAAAAAAGATTAGAGCTCTTACCAGTTGTTGAAACTGCTAGAATAGTTATTTCCATAGCATTATGTCGTATGATATTTTGTTATGGGGACACGTGACTGACTGAAATTATATTTATTTTACAGAAGAGGACCATTAGAGCAATATATAATTTAAAACCAAAAGAGTCAGACAAAAATTTATGGAAATTAATATATTAACTCTGGCCTCAATACATTTATGAAAATGTAATGTACGTACCATAGATATAAGAAATAAGGAGATATGTTCAGTAGTTGAAAATGTATCGGAACTGATACGCGCCAACTACTACATATGTATGCACATCAGTAAAAGCAATAGATACACAGTCGCGCACACACTCGCATTTTATAAATCAGAACGTACTACACAATCAATTTTAAACCATATCTCTGAAAGCACAGCGTGCATTTACCATACACCGTGCCACTTACTCACACAAGAATATCGGTCAATATCGTTGTGCTGTAAAAAAGCCATTTATTTTACATATACGTTAGTGATTGACTAAATTGGAAAGTTAACGATTGTTTCATTTATACCAAAATTGTACTAAATTTTTTTTGGGCCCTGAATATAAAATAAATAAAATACCGTATGTCCAGAGAATAGTGTAATAAAAGTAATTAATATGTAGGTAAAAATGTAATAATATCCTAAAATTTAATCAACTTACTTCACGACCGTTGGTTACGCATTCAGCGTAGTAGTTGCTGTAAAATAATTAAAATAAGTAAAAAACATTGTGTCACGTCGGTCTTCCTATCGGGTTGAAACGGTTGACAAATTGGAGAATAAACTATAATAACAATTCACCAATCCACATTATTGTCGATAGTGGATCTACACAAGCACATAACTAGCTCGTCGCAAGATACAGCGGCCGTACTACGCCATATATCTGCATAAATAAAGTATCATTTTGTGATATTTACATTGCTTGTTCAGTCACTTGGCGTCATACTAAGGTACTGGTTATGGAGCAATGTATTTACTGCAAAAATATTACAGTGACTGTGATATTTGAAATCAAAAATAACGTAGTAAGAGCAAGAAATATTTTACGATTTGCTGTTTATTATGATTTTAAAGATAAATATAATTAAATACTTTTACTTAGGTATGGTAAGTGATTTCATGATTAACAAAATTTTTGTTTTAGCTTCGGTTTTTACAAGAAACCACTGAACAACATGGTATTCTGATAATATTTCAAGATGACAGCGCACTAATTCGCATGGACGGCCATTTGTATAGAAGCTGAGCATTTTGATCATAGCGCGCGGACACAGACACGACCCCTTGCCACTTCTCCTGTTGTTTATATTTCTATGGTACGTACACTTAAATAACAGTAGTTTTGCAAAAATAAGTGATATTCATTCTGTAAATACTAGGAACAGACACAAGCTAGTAGTACCAGTTACTCGACTCCACCGAGTCAGTAACTCATTCTTGGGGCGATGTATACGCTTTTACAACAAAATCCCAGAAAATATACAAAATTTGTTTCAAAATTTTATTAAACTAGGTTTGTACAAAAAGGGTTATTATAATATTAAGGAATTTATGGATGATAATAACACCTGGGAAGGGTGATCTCTACCAAGCTACTTCTAATTTGTCTTGGGTTGTTAATAAACATGATTGTAATCTATTATTTGAAGAAAAAAAAAATAGTCCCGCTGGGTTTCTTGCTGGTTCTTCCCAGGACAGAGGTTTTTTTTTTGCGAACCAGTGGTAAATGAAAAAAGTTACTTTCAATAAGTATTGTTTATATAATCTACAATGAATAAAAAAGTTTCTGTTTCTATTTGATATAAGTACTTCAAAGGTAATACTTACACTTAGGTGTTTTACACACAAAACATGATTCTTAAAGTTTCAAGCTACAAAGTTAGCTGTAATGCGTCATTCAAATATAAAACTGAACATGGAATTATTATTTTTGAGATAAGTAACGCAAATAACGAAAAAATAGCTCTTAGTGAATACATTACGAATTAAGACACATTGGAAGAAGGGAGTGCCAGTCAGGCAAAATGCCTTAAAATTATCACGCCTTTTATATACCTAAGTGAGTATTGGGGATTTGTATGAGAAATAAGTGAAGGAACGACTGTCAGATACGCATCTAATGTTAAGCTATATCGGATACTTATAACAACAGCAATATGACAGTTCTTTCCCTACTTGTTTAAGGTAAAGTAAAACTCACATCGCAGCACATTCTGGTCTTAAGACGACGGATGCAGAATATCTCATGTGCCTATAATTTCACCGGAACCTACACCATTCCAACCGGAACAGCAATGCAAGTGTTCTAGGCCAGATTTACCCACAGGCTATCCAGGCTGGAGCCTATTGCCTTTGCAAGCACCACGTAGATACGTACAGAATAAAATTTGGTATTGCAATACATAACGGCCGTGTAGTGGCGTTTGAGAATATTCACTACCCCATATCTTCCCGTGGGTGTCGTAAGAGGCGACAGAGGGAGGCAGGCGGGAGATGGGCAGTAGCATCTTCCTGATAACAATTATACAATAAAAAATTGCGGTTGCCAAGCGTGGCAACTATGGCATTGTACGACCACGCGTTATTGTGGACGGACGTATTCAAGCTATCGAGGGATTTTTAAAAACATTGCAAACAGTAAATAATTTTGAAAAAGTATCTTATTGCTATAGTCATAATATTGAGAATCGCAGTCAACTTCGATGATCGACGGGTGCAGTCAAACGTCAGAGTACGTGTAACTGCGATCCCCACCTCTACGCACAAAGATCGGTAATATATCAAGCTATTCGCACATGCATAGATTAATGAACGTAAAGAAGTGATATTTTTGATAATGCAGCGCTCTCCAACAAATAAACGTTTTGATTCCGATCCGGATCTATCCAACATTGTCGCCCGAAAACGCAAGTATGATCACGATATTTCAGATTCATTCAAATTATTCACTGATAATATATTTAAAAAGATGGATGATTGGAAGACAGATTTTAATAATAATTTACTTCAAATAAATGACACTATAAATAATTTGATTAAGAACGACCTTGCAAAACTGAACGAGATTGTAGTCGAGGTGAAGGCAGATATCAATAATAT